CCATAGTACCAAAAAAAAAAAAAAATAGATTTGAGGAAATGTTTTATTCAGAGAAAAAGGTGAAGGTTCCAAAAGGCCCTGGTTTGGGTTTTTTGTTTTGTTTTTTATTTTTAGCTGTAGGGGTAGAAAAAATATATTTTTAGTTGTAGATGGACACAATACCTTTATTTTATTTATTTTTATGTGGTGCTGAGGATTGAACCAAGTGCCTTTCAAATGCTAGGCAAGCACTCTACCACTGAGCCCCAGCCCCAAGCATTCTTTTTTCAAGGCATTCAGCCCTATAATTGGGGTCTCAAATTCTGTTTTTTCAAGAAAGTGCCTTTGTTGTGTCATGAGACCTGTTTGAAAACAATAGCCTTTTAAACCTGATTACTTCTTTATGAAGAAGAAAATATCCTTATGAAAATCTATCACTCTTGAAATAGTGATAAGACATTTCCTGCTGTATCTCTCTCATCTCCCCCATTATATCAGAAGTCTCTAGTAGTTCTGAAGTGGTGAATAGATGAGAAATAACTAGAACATCTTGTTTTGGAACACCTGAGTTACCACTTCCCCCATTCATTCTGAACTCAATGGAAGCTGCGGGCTATTTTTTTTTAATGACAAATAAGAACATTTGTGGTGGAAATTAAGACATCTTCCCCAATAGACTGAGGGCAGGGGTTGTATTTATCTTGCTCAAAGGCCTTATCACATAGTGGGAATTTGATAAATATTTGCTGAGTAAATGAAAGGATAAAAAGGAAAACAAAGAATACAGGGTGAAAATGACAGAAGGAGAGGATAATAGCACCAATAAGATTTAACAGAAAAATAGATGAAAGACAAGCTTAGAGATTTATATGCTCTCTAGTCTTTATCCCCCAGTAGGAAGGTTTGAAACATGCACTGACTGCCATTCTCCACAGGATCGCCCAGAGATTGATTCAGGTGTACCAATTCAAAGTGTGTAGCCAGAAACTTCCCACATTCTAGAGACAAACTCAAAGACCTGGGAAAGAATAAAAAAGAAAAAGCAATATCTCTTCCTAATTAGGGAACATGATGAAATGAAATGAAATGAAAATCTATCATTCTTGAAATAGTGATAAGACATTATCACTATAAGACAAATCAAAGTGCCTTTTCCACAAAAGATTTTAGATTTTAACCCAAGTCCATCCACACTATTGTGGAATAAACTATTACTCTTTATTTATGCTTTTTTTTTTTTTTTTGGTATCAGGGATTGAACCCAGGGGCACTTAACCACTGAGCCACATCCCAGCCCTTTTTCATATTTGATTTAGAGACAGAGTCTTTCTGAGTTGCTTAAGGCCTCACTAAGTTGCTGAGGCTGGCTTTGAACTCCCAATCCTCCTGCCTCAGCCTCCCAGGCCACTGGGATTACAGGCGTTTCCTATCGCACCAGGCTATTCTTCTCTTCTCAAGGCTGGTTTGAAATAGGGTGTTTGCCTTGCTTATAAGCTTCAGTAAACCAGAGTACATTTTCATTTCCAGAAGAATGTTTGGATTTCATGTAACAGAGTCAGTCCCTACAAACACCTTCATGTGCTCGATAGCACTAATCAGGTTCCTACTTGATTAGTAAAAAGTAATTGGCCTTGAATATAAGCATATAAAGAATATAATTTATGGGCTGGAGATGTGGCTCAAGCGGTAGTGTGCTCGCCTGGCATGCGTATGGCCCAGGTTCGATCCTCAGCACCACATACAAATAAAGATGTTATGTCCGCCGAAAACTAAAAAATAAATATTAAAAAATTCTCTCTCTCTCTCTCTCTTAAAAAAAAAGAATATAATTTATGACTTTTCAATTACTTTTCCCTGCTGTGGGTTTAAGTGATTGAGGCTAAAAATATTTTTTAATTATTCTTAGTGGAAGCTAAACAACAAAAATGAAAAACAGTGAATACAGAGGGTCCAAATCAAAGAAGCTTAGGAAGTCACAAGCAAAAGTCAAAACTGGGATCTGAAAAACAAAAAGAAACCTGGGGTCTGGCTACTCACTGAAATTTGCTTCTTGAGAATTCTGGATCTTAATATATTGTATTTGAAAAGGGACAGAAGAATGGTTCCCTTGCTCCTCTAGTGACATCTTAAAATTTCTTGGTTCCAAGTTCAAGATGAGGTCTTCCTTTATAACTTCAAAAATTTAGAAGTGGAAAGTACCTTTAGACCACCCAGTCCAAAGATTATATATAGTCAGCTGAGTCATTTCTGACCAATACATGTAGTTTGGACTGTACAATGTTGTTTGTTTTAAGTCAGTTGCCAATATTTAAAGTCATGACATTTCATATAAAATCGTGCATTGGGAAATTCTCCTGAAAAATTAGGGGATCTGGCAATACTGGCTCTGAATCCTCACATGGATAATGGACTGGAGTTGTAGAGTGGCTGCCCCCTCTATAGGCAGGTCACAGACTGGATTACCATGATACTTCCCAACGTTTCTCTAACAATGAGACTTTGTTTTCATTTATCATCACACGTGAGACTACTGGTTTTCTCATACTTGCTCTACATCAATCATTAAATTACCTGCCTGGTTCCTGCAAGCATTTAGGATTCGTGATCTAGCTTAGACAATCTATTTTACAAAAGAGGGAACTAAAGCCCAAGGCATCTTCTGAGATTTCACCAAGGCCACACAACTAGTCAATGGCAGAAGGAGGACTAGATTCCAGGTCTCCTGAATTCCAGGCCACTCTAAGATATCTCATATTTTCTGTGATGGAGCCTAATCAATTCCTCTCCATTAAAACCATACTGGTAAAATTTTTTTCAAGCTTTTTGAAGGTATAATTACAGTAAAATTATGTGTATTTACAGATAAAATTTTTTATAAAGGGGAAAGTTCCATCCTTAACCAGTTTCATAGCCTATTTTTAGTTCTTAATGATGAGATACCTTCCCAGCCAATTACAACATTAACACTCTGACCCATATTTCTCCGCTGACTGCAGGTGTTTGTCTCTCTTGCAGTCATGACAAACTTGGTCCATTCCTCCCTCCTGACCTCATAAGTTTTGCAATGTCTACTTTGAAAACCCCACAGTATCCAAATGAGACTGTTGACACAGATTCCTGTCTCCCTACAATTAAGTACATTATCTTCCCTTCAAAGCAACCTAGATGGGAACACATGATTCTATTACATTGTGCTACTGCATCCAGATAGCAATGGATTCCTTTGCCCCCTTTCAACTGCGTACTTTTATTGCAGAATATAAATAAATAAATAAACAAGAGATTTGATGACCTGACAGAGAAAAATGAACTACATTGGGTTGGGGTACCAGATTACCACTGGTAGCTATTTTGGTATTTTCCAGATGTCATATAACTATACAATTTGAAAATGGCAACAACAGCAGCAGCCTAAGTAGCTCAAGGTAAAGAAAATAAATGTGGGATATGAGGGATGCAAGAAAAACTTTCATTTCATTTACAAAATGTCTGAAAGACAAAGTTAAAATTACACACTCTGGGTTGGGTGGGGGTGTATGTAAATCAGTAGTAGAGCACTTGTCTAGCATATCCAAGGCCCTGGGTTCAATCCCCAGCACCAGGGGAAAAATTACACTCTGCAGCTATTGGCCTGTGTGCACAGGGTGACCACATCTGTTAGTCTCAAATCAGTTTCCACAGTCCAAATCCAAATATCATGCATAATTTATTGAAATCTCTTAGATGGTATCATTTACAGTTTTGGAACACAAATACATGCCACATGTTCATCAGTTTGGCACTTAAGGTTCCAGATAAGTTTTTTGGATGGCAGGCAGGGAAGCCAAGAATGGAAAGGAATGGGAGAGTCATTAAGATTAGAGGCACAGGGGTTGGGATTGTGGCTCAGTTGTAGAATGATCCTCTAGCACATGCAAGGCCCTGGGTTTGATCCTCAGCACCACATAAAAATAAATAAAGGTATTGTGTCTAAGTACTTCTAAAAATTAAATATTTTTTTAAAAAGATTAGAGGCACAGTATCAGTCTTGTGAATATTAGTTTTCTCTTTCTCTGCACAAGTTTTGAGGGGGTATGTAGAGATTTAAAAAGTGCTCACCTGATAACAGGTCCCAAGAGGATTAGATGCATAAATAATGACAGTGGTTTGTCTTTGGCCAGATCTCTGTGGACAAAAATGAGGGTCAACTGGACCATAATGGATGAAAACATAAAGAAGGAAAAGGTGTATGTCATCCAGAAGGTTTCATTATTCTTTCGATAGATTCTAACCATGTATAAGGCAGATGCAGCCTCCCCACAGTACAAAAAGGTGGAGAACAGGATACCAAATGGAAAGGTAAATCGAGGGTTGGCCCCACGGATGACATCTTCCTCCAGAGATGAAACTGGATCTACATTTGGCTCCTCAGGAATTTCATAAACTCTGTCCATTGTGGAGGTTCTGAGTGTTGTGGTCTGGTGTTCACAGCACCACTCCACCCACCCCAACAAAACCTGTAGCCACTGCAGTCCAAGTAACAGTCAAGTGGGCTCTGTCAAGTTGAATTCCAGAATGGAGATCAACTAATTAGAACCAGAGACTCCTGTCTTCTAGACCCAATTAGATGTGGAGTCTGGGATGAAGAGTCCAAGAGGACCACTCTGAACTTGATTCTTGATTGGCCCAAGAATCCAATCGTCAATATATGTGCTGAGAAATTTGGACAAGGCAAAAGCAAGCATCCCAGCGCCGAGTCTGGAGTCCAATTCCAAGCGTACGAAAAGACATGGGAACAGCGTTTTCCGTGGCAGCTCCTTTCGCACCCCTGCTCCAGGCAGGAGGGGAGCCACTCTGTCAAGACACTGCTAGCAGCTCCCCGGGAGATATTCTGAGCAGTGTGCCCTCTCAATTCAGTAGCAAATTGAGCCAGAGCAAAAGAAAGGGCGCAGTCTGAGCGTTCCCTGGAGGATTGGGTTCAGCGCCATGGTACCTTAGCTACTTCTAGGTTATGGCTCTTAGCTCCCCCTCTCATGTGTTCACCGGTGCTCTCTCAGGATCCGCGCCAAATCAAAGGTTCTCCAGGTGGCTCTACGGATTCCCCAGGCCCCGCCTCCAAGACAGCCGGGCTGGGGGCAGGAGTAATGTCAACACTCGTCCCCAAGCTCAGTCACTAGGGAGAGAAGCACTGCACGCTTGCTACTGGAATCAAGCAAAGGCTGGAGGGGCTTCTCCACCCAGAAACTTTGCTAGTGAAAGGCACAAGGTGCAAGCCGCCAAACCGGCCGGGCAGATGTCGCCAAACTCATGGACGCTGTCGGCTGCCGGGGTCTAGTCTGGCCTGCAGTTGAAGCCGCAAGAGGTCCGGTGGCTTCAGGCGCTAGCTAAAGCACCTGGATGGCGGGGGCGGGCGAGATAGGAGGGACGGCTGGGGCCAAAAAAAGAAGCCCGAGAGTTCCAAGTCAATCAGCCAAAGGATGCTCCGTGTACAGGCGCGACAAGGAGGGCTTGGACCACTCTTCAGAAGCACTGCTCAGCACGACCCCCAGACCCAGGAGGGAGCCAAAGCTTTCCTCTCCCCAGGAGCAGAAGGCACCCACTTCTACCCCCACCCTCCCTAACTAGCTAAGTGGCTTGCTCCCACACTAGCTCAACCCACGCGGTTAGGCAGGTGTGTCTCCCTTGGGCGCAGGGTTGAACCTCCCTAGGTCCTATTGCCCTCCAGATAATATCACAGGAGAGGGTACCTGGAAGGCAATTGGGGAAGAATTTCCTTTTCAGTTGATTTCAGCTAAAGGAAGACTAAACAGGGTAGAAATCAAGACACAAAACTAGCCCACAGACACTGAAAGCTCATATTATACGCCTTGATTTCTCCACTTGCAAAATGAAGCCAGGACTGGAGCTTTATGGACTTTCAGGGTTTTGGCTAAAACGTTCCAAAGAGTGGCCAAATTCTAAATAGACTGGCAAGTAGCCAAGGGTGCTGTTAGTAAAACTGACATGTCTTAGCTCTGAAAATTTGCTGGATTCTTAAGTGCAATCCTCCCCCACCTCACCAAGCTTTTGTTTTCATGCCTAATTTGCATAATTCTAAACCCCAGAGAAAAGGAGAAAACATCTGCCTCTGGGTGATAATATAAATGTACTAGAGCCTGTGCCAATCTCCTGTTGCTGCAGTTAAAAGAATCAGTGAGGAGTGGTCAAGTTAGCTACCAAAAAAGGATGGCCTCAAGATAGACTTAGTCTTGTCATTTTTTTTTTAAGGTTTCCTGGATTGCTGCCTCCTTTCCTCAGGGCTGATTCGGGGACAGACTCAGCATCTAAGGGTTGTTGCTTTCTGAAGCAGATTCTCCATCTTGGTCTGCACCTGTGGTAGCAGCTGGGCTAAGAGGGTGATACTTCCTCCTTCCCGTTTCACACCAGAGGTCCACAGTATAGAGAACTTCAGTCCAAGTACTGATTACCTGAAACATTCTAACTGGAAAGAGGTTCTCTACCAGGGGCATACAATACAGATCATCTTGGGGATCCTGAGCAACCTGCTTGCAAGATGGATCTCAGGCAAGGTGACTAACTCATTCCACTTTGCTAGGATGGAGTAGATTAATCACCTTAACACCGGAGAACGAGGTTTAGGAAGAATATAGAACCCTAGTGTTCTAGTTTTTCTTCCCCAGGCCTTTACTAGTCCCCAAATATGTAAATCTACAATGCCTTTCTACTTTGTTCCAAAATAACTCCTTTCTTCTGCCATCCAAGGCTTTCTGTAATCACCCTGCTTCTCTCTCAAACTTTAATTGCCCACGCTACCCTACCACACACCTTTTGCTCCAGTCCAGCAGGTTTTCTCACTTATATTCAACCTGCTCACTACCACCTTATGTGCCTTGTTGATGCTATTTATAGCCCCATTCACCTTTTCCTCTATTAATGCAAACCTTCCTTCAAGGGTCAGCTCCAGAATGACCTTCTCCAAGCTTTCTCTCCTCTCCAACCCTTTCCTAGCTTTGTGCTATTGGCACATGTCTCTTGTACTAACTAGTCCCTCAACTCTTTGTTTGCTTTGCCTCCCCAATATAAGTGTAAACTTAATGAGGAAGGGATGTGCAATTAATGTTTACTGTGGATCTTGTTGATGACAATGGTGATTGACAAATGATGACAAAGCTTCCTCCCCCATACTTCCTCCATGAAACCAGGCAAGACTCAGACACACTCATCTCTAACAGCTGTAGGCACTGTAGCTTAAAGTACTTCGGCTGAATGAACACTGCCTTATTCACTCATTCAGCTCAGAGGAAGCCAGCCTACATGACCAGTCCCCTCTCAGACATTTTTGTCAAATACCAGTTTAGCACCAAATTACAAATTTGTTTCAAGTGTACAAAATTTTATGCCCCAACTAAATTATTATAGGTTTCTTGATGACAGAACTCCTACTATAATGCTTTTATTGGATTCCCCCATGGCTGCTACAGACCTGTAAATTTCCTGCCATCTGATTCCCCTCATCCATCAGCTTCTCCATTTTCATCCTTAAGACTTTCTGGCGCTTTAGGACACTAAATCCCTGGTCTCTGATTTCCCTTTTCCTTTGCCCTGCTGGGAGAAACTTAAAAGAAGATTTTCCCTATTTCTGTCTAATACTCTTTGCCCTTTAAAGCAATCTCTAGATTCTAACTTTACTCTTCTTAGGATGAGATGCTGGAAATGTTGGTAGAGGTGAGCCTGCCCAGTAGCCCCTTCCCCATTGAAAGCACAGATCTCCCAAAGGTTAATCTGCTGAGGTGATACCTCTAAGTGGCCCCCTAAATTCTAGGTAATGCTCAAGGGTCAATTTTCCCCTCCAGGAAGCACCAAAATTCTGCAAGAAAGGGAGGCTTAGGATCCAGAAGGAACAAATAATGGGCCTAAAAGCTATCTGGTCTAAAAGCTCTTGGCATCTTTAGCTGCATTCAGAAGCCCCTGAAATCACATAAAGCTTTGGGATAGGGATGAGGTTTCTATGCCATCACGGCCTGAAGAAAAATGGCTCCTAGACGTTCCAGAAGCTGCTTCTGTAAAAGGCAGCTGGCTTCTACAAGAGGAGAGGAAGAGAGATGAGCAACAAGTGGCTGGTAGGTGGGAAGTAATGAACAAGGTCCAGAGTATCAATTCCTAGGGCAGAAGGATGCCTTCCTTCCATAGAATTATGTTTGGGCTGTTAAGAGTTCTTGAAAGATATCTAAGGCAAAACCAGACACCTAGATCTGATTTTTTTCACTGTAAGCTCCTTGAGAACAATGACTTTTGCTTTTTAGTTTTGAGTCTATGCCCTCATTAGTATTATACATAGGTAGGATCTGGGCTTAAGTCAAAACACAAATTAGATCTCTCTGCAGCCCTTAAGCAGCCTTGAAGAGAATGAAGGGCTATCACAAAATGTGGCATAAAACATGGGGATGGTGGCAAGCTCCATTTACATTGCTTGGTAGAGGGAATGAGGGAGAGGGATGCAATGAATAATACTTATTTCTGAAATAATACCTTTAAATATAATTCATGTACCATATAATTCACCCATTTAAAGCGTGCAATTTAGTGGTCTTTAGTACAAAGCTGTGCAGCCATTACCCCAATCTAATTTCAGAACATCTCATCACCCCCCAAAAGAAACCCATACCCATTAAGTGCTCACTCCCCACTCCCTAAACAATCTAAAATCTACTTTTCATCTCATTGGGTTTGTTTATTCTGTATTGTATTAGTCTATTTTGTTGCCAATAATATCATAGAAAGGGTGATTTAAGGTTTATTATGGGTCATGGTTTTAGGTGAAGGATGATGGGCCACATTTGGTGATAACTTTTTTTTTTCTTTTTGGTACTGGGGCTTGAACTCAGGGGCACTCAACCACTGAGCCACAATCCCATCCCTATTTTTTTGTTTGTTTGTTTTTATTTAGAGACAGGGTCTCACTGAGTTGCTTAGCACCTCACTATTGCTGAGGCTGGCTTTGAGCTTGCAATCCTCCCATCTCAGCCTCTCAAGCCACTGGGATTAAAGGTGTGCAACACGGTGCCAGGCTAATGATAACTTTTTTTGCTGGCAGAATTCCAAGTTGGCAAAGAGTATCACATAGCAAGAGAATGTGTTCTCTTTTCCTCCTCGTATGAACCTTCCAAGATTCAATTATGGGGGCTCCACCCTAATAACTTTAATCCCAATTATTCCCCAAAGACCCCATCTCTAAACACCAGAATTGGATTAAGTTTCCATCCCCTTAATACCTCACAATGGGGGTTAAATTTCAACACATGAAAACCTGGGAGACAAACCATGAAATGTGTACTTCATGTAAATGGAAATCATTTAATATGGGACCTGTTCTGTCTGGATTTTTTTACTTAGCATGTTTTCAAGGATTATCCATGTTGTAACATGTATTACTTTGTTCCTTATGAATAATAGTCCACCACATAGATCTACCACAAAGAAACAGAACCACTGGGTCACTCGTAGTTCTCAAATTCAGGGCACATTGGGAGGCTGCAAATTCAGGGAAAAGCTGGTGTGGCAGGATTCGTCTGGAAGTTGAAAAGTCAGCAGAATTTCTATATTGCAGTCTGGAGGCAGAATTCTATCTTCTGCAGGGGACCTTTGCTCTTTAGGCCTTCAATGGATTGGATAAGGCTCACCTATATTATGAAAGGTAATGTTTTATTCAATATCTGATGACTTTAGTGATAATCACATTTGAAAAATATCTTCATGATATTTAAACTGGTGTTTGACCAAATGGGCACCAAAACCTAGACAAGTTGATACATAAAAACATGACAGGGTTGTTTCTACTTTTCAGCTCTCATCAATAAAGCAACTAA